GAGCAGCTCCAGTCTTGTTTTTTGCAGCATTTATCCTTGTCTGCTCACTGACCAAAGTCCATAATTTGTCAAGGTTAACAGTTGGGCAGAAGCTCTGATTCCACTTCAGGTGGTAATGTCTCATACCAACCTTCCCAAAATAACCTGGATGGCATTTGTCAAAGTTGGTCCTGTGGTGATGCAAACCACCAGCATTACCTCGGCCTCCAGGGTGCTTCCAGTGCTTCCCGATGCGGCCGTGGCCGTGGCTCACATGGCCCCGAAGTTTGCGGGTCTTCCTCAGTCTTGACGGCATTTCGTTCGCTTACACGAAAAAGAGCTTTTAGTTCTTTTTAAGACAGAGAAAGCTCGAGCAGTCCATGTGGGCTGCTTATAACATTCCCTTGTTCTACAGAGCTCTGGTGGCGTAGTGGTGAGAACCTGGCTGCAATCCCAAAGGCACACAGCTCTAATCCACCAGCTGTTCTGCGGGAGGAGGATGGGCAGTCTCCTGTCATGTGATTAACCACCTCTGAAAATCTTCTGGAATGTCAGCTATGGGTTGGTTCCAACTCTATGGTACACAAAAACAAGAACAGGGATTCAGCCTTCTGGAATTTCTGCTAATTTGGCTTTACTGCTAAACACATTTATTTGAGTTACTGCTATCCCTGTCAACACATTGTAAAATTTTAGTAAATTCAATTAATGATTTTCACAGAATCTGGCATGTTTTGATGATAAACAGTCTTTCCCTGCTGTCTCCTCTGTGTCATCCCAGGTCAGTGTCAAGGTGGCTGGACAGAGCCTCAGTGAAGTGTCTGAAGCCCGACACAGGGTGCGGTAAGCTCATCGCCACTATGGCTACTCCTTGGCTTTTGTTTTAATATTTGACTCATCTCCAGTTTATTTTGGTTAAGAGTGAGGTAAGAATCCAGTTTCTTTCTTTCTTTTTTTTTTAGAATAATCTCTTTTCTGTCATTAATATTAAATGCACTTACTCACTACTCACTAATGCCACACCCACAGAGG